TCAAACCAGTGACCCTTTGGTTCGTGGGCCAGTACTCAATCCACTGAGCCACACCAGCCTAAAAAGTGGGTATTTTAAAGCAGTTGGACTGTTTCTTGTTTTCTTTTGTGCTTAAGTACCTGTGTTTTCTGAGATTTGTGTTTTTGTTCTTATGTTTTTCTTCTTGTTTTTTGTTCTGTGCATGAGGCACATGCTACTTTTGCAATTTGGGGAGGGAAAATGTCATAATTGCAAAGAAAGAGGGCATGGTCAATAGTATCAAACACTGCATAGGGGCCAAATAATACTAGATAATAGAGAGGAAGAAGTCAGCAGAGCGCCTCGGTGAGTCGGCTGTGTTGTAGTGGATGTGCTAGAAGGGAAATGGCAGTGGGTTGAGAGGAATCAAGGCAAGAGAATCAAAGTAGGCCATTTTTTCCAGAAGTAGGACCACAAAGAGAAGTTGAAAAACAGAACAGTAAGGAGTGGGAGATGAAAAATCAACCAAAACTACAGCAAAGATCAGAGAGCCTGGGCGAGGTTGATGCCAATGGAAAAGGGGCCGGGGAAAAGAGAGGTACTAATGTAAGAGAGAGGTGCATGATTGAGGAGCAAGGTGCCTGTGGGGACGTGGGCTTGTTTGCAACAAACACAAGAATGGGTTGGCCTAGGCAAAAGCCAAAGCCATCTTCTAAAATGAGAGGCACGGTCAGTACAGAGTTCAGACGGTGAAACACTTTGCAGTGATAAAATTTGCACCTGGTCTTCATTTTATCAATAGGAGGTGAAGCCATCCACTGAGAGAGAGTGTCTGGGTGGTGGGCAGGAGTTTGCCAGGAAGGGGAAATGTCAGGGAAACTGGAGGAGCCCAATGCCCTGCCTTCGAGGGCATTCTCCTGGGAAAGTGACCTCTCCTTTACCCACTTTCAAAGTAAACCTCAGCTGGGCTAACACTATCTATGTGATCGAGGCAAGGGGACAGTTCTCTACAATACTCAGGTGGCACAGGGCTGCCAGAAGGACCTAAGAAGCCCCATCAGATTACAGTATCTATGCCTTCACGCACCTGGCAGGATCATCCATGCCTGTACATCTCTAAGGGGAACTGGGGGCTCAGCATCACAGTCTGAGATGACTCTGCGCTATTTCCTGCTCTAGGTAATGGTCTCTGAAGATGCCTTTGCCATCGGGTTTGAAGAAGCTGTACATCCTCTCACCGGGCTTTTGGCATACCTCTGTCAATCTGATCTCCAGCTGCTGGGAGCTGTCCAGACCACAAAAAAAAAAAAAAGGATATGTCATGCTGCAGCTGGAGCCTTGTTTTCTTTTTTTATTTAAAGATTTTATTTATTTACTTTTAGAGAGAGGGGAAGGGAGAGAGAAAAAGACGGAGAGAAACATCAATGCGTGGTTGCCTATTGTGCACCCCTTTCCCCCACCAAGGACCTGGCTCACAACCCAGGCATGTGCCCTGACTGGGAATCGAACCAGCGACACTTTGGTTCACAGACCTGTGCTTGATCCACCAAGCCACACCAGCCAGGGCTGGAACCTCGTTTTGTCGTAGCTCTGACTACCCACCTCTCCCAGACACCCCCCTCCCACCTCCAGGAAACACTGATAAAAGATTACTGTGGCATATGGTCTTACCGACCATGGAATTTTTAGGTGCTCTGTTAAAATGAATGGTTCTCAACTAGGAGCAATTTTGCCTCCCTGCCCAGGGGAGATTTGGCAATTTTTGCTAAACATCCTACAGTGCACAGGACAGTTCTCACAGTGAAGAGTGATCTGGCCCCAGATGTCAAGAGTGCTGAGAGTGAGAGACCCTGCTTTAAAGAGCTCCTTACCTGCAAGGACCTTTTCTCGTCTTTTTTAAATCCTCACCCCAGGATATGTTTGTTAATTTTGAGACAGAGACAGAGGGGGAGAGAGAGAGAGAGAGAGAGAGAGAGAGAGAGAGAGAGAGAGAGAGAGAGAGAGAGAGAATGATTGCTTGCCTCCCATATGCACCCTGAAAAGTGATTGAACCCACAACCTATTGATGCAGGGGAGACGCCCCAGCAACTGAGCCACCTGGCCAGGGCTGTAAGGGCCTTTTAGAGTCTGGCTAAAGTCCATATAAGGGTTATTTATAATTTGAGGTTAATGTCTAAAACAAATCAAAGAATATGCCAGACAACAGAGTGACAAATGGTAGGACTTATAAATTTCCACAGGATGGCACTAAAACACATGAAAATCTAAACTTCTCCAGCCTCCATTTCTGAATCCAGTTTCTCACTCACCCTGCTCAGCTCTCTGGGGTAACAAATGCCCATCCTTTTTGAAAGGGATTGTCACTTCTTTGTGCTCAGTGTTCCCCACCAGCAGTATTTTCATGCAAATGAATTAAAAGGATTAATGACTAACTCTTAGCCTGGAAGATAAAAAGAACAGGGCCACCTTCTCAGTCAGCTACAGCATTTCCACTACCTGTAGCAACAAGGCTGTGGAAGAATCTGCTAGCTTCTTGCCTTCTTCTTTAGCTAACATTTACCTGGGAACCTGGCCAGCAGACACTTCCAAGACTCCACTACTCTTAGGATGGTCGAGTCATGAAGCTCTGTCCATGAGTGGGATTTAAGCAGAAGTGCTGTTGGAGACTTCTGGGTAATACCCTTAAGGCAGTAGTTCTCAGCTCGGCATGATTTGGCCTCTAGGGACATGTGGCATTGTCTGGGACATTTTTAATGATCAGAACTGAGAGATGCTACTAGCATCTAGTGGGTAGAGCCCAGGGATGTTGTTAATCATCCTGCAATGCACAACAGAGCCCCCAAACACAGAGTTATCCTGGTTGTAATGTAAATTGTGCCAAGGTGGAGAAATGCTACTTTGGCATATTAGAGGGATGGGGCATGCAAGGGCTTCCCACACCTCTCTTCCCACTGGCTGGAAGGAAGGTCCAGTGGTGTGCCATCTTGGGCCATGTGGGCCAAGGCAACAAACCAGGGAGCATGACGCTACAAAATAGGTGGAATCTGAGTCCCTGGCCCAGTGGATCTACCTTACTTCTCTGGACGCCTTCCATCCAGATAGAATGTATACACACACTCATGGTACTGTAGTATATAGACTCACAGTACTCTAGTAACTGCTCTACCTGAAACATACTTACTCTAGCCTGCTTGTTCTGCCTTTCCTAGGATTCCTTCAGCATTCTTCCCCTCCTACTTACCCCTCTTCTTCTCATTTTCCTTCCTCCCCGGATGCAGCCTATTGCCTAAGGCAGATATTTCAACAGGCCCCAACTGATTATTTATCAGCTTCACTCTACAACTGACTTTTCCCAGAAGACACTACACTCCTATCATTCCCTACCCTCATTCTATTCATAGATATTTCATCCTCCCCCCATCCATTTTAGAGAGGGGAAGGGAGGGAGAAAGAGAGGGAGTGAAGCATCAATGTGTGGTTACCTCTGAAGCACCCCCCAACTGGGGACCTGGCCAGCAACTCAGGCATGTGCCCTGACCGGGAATCGAACTGGTGACCCTTTGGTTCACAGTCTGGAGCTCAATCCACTGAGCTATCCCAGCCAGGGACCATTTTTTAAACAGTAGAGGAAGAACTTTGTCTAAAGAAAATCCCCCTCAATATATGCTTTCTGGCCAATACCCTACTAGATTTTCTTCATAGAACTTACCATGATGTACAATTATATTCTGTGTATTGTCTATGCTCTACTGAAGGTTACTTTTATGAGGTCAAAATATGTCTTGTTCACCACTGCATATCTGGTAAATAGAATAACACTGTCCAATAGGCATACATAAACATACACTGCATGCCACATATATAATTTTAAATGTTCTACTAGCTGTGTTAAGTAAAAAGGTATAAGTGGATTTAATTTTATTCTTATATTTTGCCTACATAGTTCTTCCCTAACATGCTCTCACTATTAAACAATGAGATTTTTATCATCTTTTTCTCAAACTACTTCTTCAAAATCCACTTCGTACCTTACTGTTACCACACATCTCAATTCAGCTACATTCCGAGCTGTGAACACCACATGTGTTGAACGGCTGCAATGGGCAGTACAGGCAAAGAATAACTCATGAACGCGGTAGGCGTCCAGTACACTTTTGTTAAAGTTAATATTCTTCTGTGCTATTTGACTCTTCGGTAGTGCAAGAAGAGCATGGTAATTATGTCCATGACATTAGTTAGCCCGACTTAGCCATCTCCTCTGGTTTCCAGTTTCCACTTATTAATTCTGCAATGAGCATCCAGTTTACATCTGTTTTTTCTTGCAATAATTTCCCAAAAGTGAAAATTCTAGAACTAAAGTACACCCCCTTTTAAGGATCTTGCCATAGTTTGCCAAGATACCCCAGAAAAATAAGCTACTCAGACTTCGAGTGGTTTATACTTGGTTATTACTGAATCCTCTGCGACACTAACAGGGAAAGTATTGCTGACAGTGATTGTGATGATAAAAAATAATGTTAGTGGGCACTATTTGTGTGCTCTAACGCACCGGGCATTGTGCACTAGGTATTATTCACATCTTATTATTCACGAGCTGAGGCTGGCGGAGGTTAATAAACTAAGCGCTAGAATCGCGCTCAAACTCAGATCTGGGTAGCTATTTTCAAAGCCTGGCCGTTTCCCTGAACCACGACCACTCTCCCTTGAGGGAAGAGCGAAATGTCAAAAGCCAAGAAACTATTCCAAGGACCTGGGTCGTGCAGAAACGACCCTCGTCTTCTCACTCAGTTAACCCATTGGCACAGATACAGCTGCCCGACGCGGGCGCTCGCCTGGGTCCAAACTCTAGTGCCGCGACCAGGGCGCTGCACGTAAGTGCTCTGCACCCAGCACCTGCCACCAGCGGTTCCCACTCTCAGCCGAAGAGGTGGACTTTCACCTTGAGCCCGCCCCATAGTGTGGTGCAGAACGCGCCACGAGTGTGTCGTCACGCAGGACCCAGGCGGGGCGGGTCTTCCGGCGCGCAGTGACTACCTAAACCAATCGGAAGCTCACTAGTCGCCCAGGCGACAGCTACTCCCATTCTCGACCCACAGGAAATAGGTCCCTGCAGTCCCACCGCCCAGGATCTGCAAGCCACGAGCCCACGAGGTGACTCTGGGGACGGCTGGGTTTTCTTTGGGAAGTGAAGGTGGAGCCTGGAAGCCTCCAGAGCCGAGAGCTTGGCTGTCACACTGTCGTAGTAATTATCATCCCGCGGTTATATGTGAGAAGGGACGGGTTCCAGAAGCTCTCAGCTCTGATGAGCATGACAATTACTATATGACTTTTAAAATTCTGATGCCCAGGCCTCCGTCCCAGATTAATTAAATTCATATCCCCAGAAGCAGGGCCTAGGCATCGGTCTTTTTATTAAAGTCCGCCCCCCGCCATGTAGTTCTGAAGTGCCAGTAACATTGTGTTAAGCGAGGGCAGCCTCATGCGTGGAGGGATGTCTAGAGTATTGGTTCTTATTCTCAAAAGTCGGTGCTTTATTTCCCCTCGCACTTTAATCTTTGTGGGAAGTCAGGGGTTTGGGTGGAAGTTGTCTGGAGAACATTTGCACCTGTGGTCTTTTATGCGCCTTGCCTGTGAAGTGGAGAATGTCTTTGCCCTTTTTTCTTCCTCAGTATTTGAATTGAACCAGCAGCCAACGAAGTACATTTTAGGTTTGAAATCCCGAGTCCCTTATTACAGGCCAGTTGGTTCTGAACAATTTTTTTTTTCAGGAATGATTGTTAAAGTTGTTTCACAGGCTGGGTTCTGTATTCAGCTGTCTTGCACCTAAATTTGGAACATTACTTGAAAGTCCAGACTAAAGATTAGTAACACAAGTAAGACTTCTGGTGTTATTTACTCTAAAAATGCAATTTCTAACTACATAGCTTATAGAAGTAGCAGTCTCTGCCATGGCAATGTGAACAGAAATGTTGTTAGGAACTTGACATAGGCTTAAACTGAAGCAAGTTCACTGTAAGGTGTACAAATCCCCTACATATGCTCATTGCCCTGCTGGGAAAGTATATAAACCAAAGCTCCAGAGAAACTTTCATTCTAAAACTGTTTGACAGATGGGGAAGGCCTTGTGGTTTTTAGGATCCACCATTGAAGGATGGGGCTCAATGAGAGGGTTAGGGGTTATTGAACCACTAGCCTGGAGCAGAGGTTGGAAAGGCCAAATTTGCTGCAGAACTCTGGGATCGGCTGCTCTACAACTGCAAATCCAGCTACAGAACAGTGACAAAAGTGAACAAGTGAAGGAAGTAGAACTAGGGTTGATCAGATGAACTGAAAATATATTTTCAAAACATTAATGCATTCAAATTTCTTTCTGAAAAGGTTTGGAGCTTTATAATATTTGAGTGACTAGCTATTCAGGGATTTCAGGAAGGGTAAGGGTAGGAGGAGAGAGTGTTATTGGGAAACAGCAATCCCAACAGCATCCAGGAACAGGAAATATTAGCTATGATTTTTTTATATATTGGAAGGAAAATAGGACATTTAAAAAAAATAGACTGCAGAATCCATGCCTTCAGGTAATTGATTAAACACCCAAATGAGTGAGGCATAGTGAGTGCTGTGTGCATTCAGAAAAGAGACATTAACATGCAATTACCATGTATATGTTTATAGAAGTAAAACTTGAAATAAGGCTCCTAAAATCTACTGATGGTCTTAACCAAGTTAAACTAGTCGTGGGTTTTGCTGGTAGGCTCTTAACTTGTAATACCTGATTGTTCAACCCTTATTCCTTTATGCTCACACGAGGTTTTACTGTATGAAGCATAAACTTGCAGTGAAGAGATCTTATCTGTTTCCTTCTATGACTTGTATTATTTGTATGTCCTCAGTTGCCTCAGTTTTCTGCTTTCGCATTGCCTGTTGGGTTCATGGATCAGAGGGTAACTTTGTTTTGGGATGTCCTCATATTTCACTTCTGATTCTGATGTTAGTCACATAGGGAATTGGTGAACTTGTAAATAAATCCATTCACAAATCTAGCACTCTTGAGGACAAATGAAACAATGTCATTCTGTGGCAGAATGTAATGTTATAAAGAAGAATTAACTACATCCTTTCAGTCTTTCTCCTTCCCTGGGCTGTGCCTTTGTTGTGACATTACTTATTGCAACACCCAGAAGAGCGTAAACTGGGGTTTGGGTTTGAGGGAAGAGGAAATAAAACTCCGTTTGGGGGCTCCCTTGCCCATAAGTTTTAACAGTGGCTGTTAGAGACAGAAAGATGTGGGCTTACTGAACACAAAAGCCTGTGCACTTGTGGGAGGCCCGTGTCTGAAAGATGGAGCTTGGACTGCTGAGAGCGGAAGACCGTTCAGCCATCTTTGATGCCCAAAACACTGTGCAGGGACCACGCACAGCCACAGGAGAGAGCCCATCCAGGCATCAGGCCAGATGAACTTGCCAACCTTATCACGCGGCTGGGGGTGGGAGCAGGAAACGGTGCTCTCAAAAAGCCTCATTTTATTATTTTTCTTAGTTGGGGAAGTTCCTGCCATTGCACGTGTTGTTGAAAGACAGCCATTCTACTACGGTTATTACTGTATACAAGAGATCCCTTAGAATTGCATGACTCAATTTATGTAATTCAGGTTTCTCTCTGTACTTTCACATATTTTGAGTGATCTCCAGCAGAAACGCCCCCCCCCCTTCCCTCTGCCTTGAAACAGTGGACTGGTAGGCCTAATTGGATCCCTCAAATTACCTGGTTGGCTCAGGGAACCAAATCAGAAGGAGCCTAACAGGGACCACTCAAGTTTCAGGGCTTTAACCAGCATAACTTATTTCATGACTGACTTTCCATGTGTTTCTTTGCAAAAATCCAAGCAGGTGACTTTTCATATATTTAATTTTCAGAATTCTAGGGGAAAAGGAGGATAGAGAGGAAAATGCGGTTATAGATTTATCGTTTCCAGGGGTATTTGTGGTTTTATTTATCTGGTTGCTGTGACACACCCTGCATCCTATATTTATAAGAATTTAAATATGCAATGAAAAGAAGATACACAATGCCACTACTTTTGAACAAAGGCGCATTACTTATTTGTGGATCTTTTTTTAATTGATGAAATTAGCCACAGTGTATCCATTGAAAACTTCAAAGCTCTTGTCCGTCGTTATTCATGTACACTTATGCATGTCAAAATGTATCTTCCAGGATAAGCAGATTCAATGAAGAATGAGTACATTTTCTCAGAAAGGCTTTCTGGGAAAATACATTGTTGATGACTCAGGGGCAGTGTCTTGCCTGTGGGCCTCAGCAGTGTTCAGTGAATGACCTCAATGCTGTTTTTATTCCTTCCTTTTCTGCTGGTTGAGGACAGACAATGAATTCAGTCTCTGTACTTGCCGGGGCTCAGCTGGGCAGTGACTATTCTGCCATTGTATTCACTGGGGAGGGCTGCCCGGTTGGTAGTGCTGTGGATCCGGGCCTGCCCTGACATTGCCAATCTCTTTTCTTTCAGCTGCGCCGTCCCATTAGAAAAGAAAGTGGCTGTTCAGTCCCCGAAGTGCGCGCCATTATAGAGTAGGGGACACTCCCAGGGAGGTGGGGAATGAAAGATGAAAGTAAAGACCAGTGAAAAGGCATGGGAGTTTTGCTGCAACCGTACGCATTCTGTTCTTTGCAATGGTAATGGTGTCTGATGGCGGTGTTGCTCTAATGTCTAGAATTATTTTAATGTTGCCCTTTCAGAAACCCAGGTGTCTTATTAAGTCTTTAAACATTGTATGTGGAAAGAGTAACAAACTTTAACAAGTTAACAGGACCCTTCCCTTGGGAGGTAACTGATGTAGCCAGCAGGGAAGAATATGGATTCCTTGTTTCAGTGATTAGACACTGGGAACTCTCCCTTTTCTCCCTGTTGGGTCACTGCCTTGCACACAGCAGCTGGTAGAGCGTCCATCAGAAATTGTGGCACCGCGGGTGTATTCTAACATACACCTGTTGATTGATACTCTTTTGTGGGAGTTGAGGTTTTTTTTTTTCCTTTAAGTCTCTAAATGTCTATGTCGGTCTTTAAGACATGGTTCAATTTGCTTATTTAGTCATGGAGATGATTCCTTTGTCCCAAATAGTAGGAACTGGTCACTGAGATTGTTGGCTGTAATCCCCGTTGTCTTGCTTCCACTCATCCTATGCGAGTCTAAGTGTGAGAATCCGAAGTTGCCCCAGTGATTTCCAAATGGAAGGGGAGGAAGAACTAGGATGTTTGGCATTTGATAGTAAATGTTCTAGCGTCCACAACAGTGCAGGCAGCATTACAGTTGAGGACAAAGTCACTTGTATTCCATCGTTAATATAAATCCATCTTTTCTTAATGTCCTGGGTCTTAAAAGAGTCTAGCACTTTAACTGATTAATTGGTACACTTTATAAATAGTCAGCACACTGGTCTGAATCAGAGCTGCTTCTGCGTCAAATGCTGGAATTGGCTTTTTTTTGAGCATCTCAGCTCATGGTCCTGGAGTCTGTCTTGCAAAAATGTTCAGTGTGCCTTGCGTGATCTCTAAGGCAGCGTAACATGGCAGCCCTTTTATCAAATGACTGGTCGAATTAAAGGCATAAATAAGTAATCTCTCCTCAAATTAGCACTCCCTCCACCTTTTTAATCACAGCCATAGACAACGAGCAGCCTGGAGGACATGATGGATTACACTTGAACTTCTTAAACAGTTGCCTACTTTATCACATCTTCCTACACTTCTCACTCCACAGAGTGGACCTCTCAGATGCTGCCTCATACATTTGCAGAATATGGTAACTCCAACTTTTAAAGCCAGGCTGGATTGTCCCAATTATGAATAAAAACAGGATTTTCTGAGGTCTGCAGTAGTGTTCAGTGACAATAGTGTTTATTAATACTTGAGGCTGTCACACTTCCCCATTTGGGATCATTAATATTCATATTAATCTGGTTCTAAGCACACTTTATAGGGCATAGAAGTCTGGGTTCAAAACTCTTACTCTTTAGAAGACGTGCAGATGTCTCCTTGACTTTTCTAATCTAATTTCTATGCTCCTTGTTAATCTTCTAAAACAAATTTGATTAAGACATACTGGAGTTCACTTTAATGTCATTATGCACTGCAGGCTCTCAGCGATTCAGATATCAGTGCTAGATGAAAACTGGCTGGAGTGAATTTGCCACTTAAAGGCTGCACCTTACGGTTTAGCACTCAAGCATGTGCTGATTTCTACCGGAATTTCATTCTGTGCTAGTCTTATTTCTCCGGGCGGTTAGCCCCTGAATCGCATTGCATTTTATATTTCCTCAATAACCTGTACAGCACACAGCAGTGAGCCAGGTTTTCAGATAATGGCACATGTTTTAAACCTTTCAATGTATAGTTTCAAAGTAATGGGAACTAAATTTGCACGTACATTTTCACCACATCTGTTCACTTTTTCCCAGTTTACATTCACTACATGTGCATGAGTTTCTGAATTTAGAACGGTGAACAGGAAATGTGGGCTATGTATGAGGTAAAATGACAGAAGGTCATGTCAGCCCTCTTGGAAATACCCTATTTGAAAGTTTTTTTTTTTAAATATTTAAAAAGAAGGGAAATGGTTCTCTTTTAGGTTAAATGTTAAAAGAAGTCATTTTCACATTGCAGTTTTCAACAGTACCCATAGCAAAACATCTGATCGAGATTACGAAATAAGTCAAGTTTATTTCTTAAGACTCGGAGTTGTTTAAATGTTATCCTGTGATTAAGAGAAGTTAGAAAAATAGCACTCCTTCATATCTGATTTCTAAAGTTTCAGATGCTAAGTAACTGCTCAGCGACATATTGGGTTAGTATTGTGTTAGTGATTTTCACTAGCACAATAGCTTCAATTCTCAGGAGCTCCAATTTCACAGGAGCTTCAATTCTCATGCATTTTAGACTTACTGTTTTTGTTATTTTATTTTGTTTTGTTTTATCTTATTGTTATTCACTTTTTAAAGCACATTCTAGTGTAGACTGTCATTTTAGTAGCTCTGAACTCCTGAACAGGAGGAAAAAATATTCAAAGCCTGTTTTAAATAGGTTGTAAATGGTACAGCCTGAACTTTACCTTTAGGTATTTCCTGCCCTATCAGTAAATCACAGGCAGGTAGGCAGTTGGGGGGAGGAGCCTCCCATGTAGAGCAAGGCTGCTGGGCAAAGGCATTCTGCACCTGAGGCCTGGTGGAGGGTCTCCATGAAAGGGTTTCTCCCCCTGCACAGGGGCAAAGTGGTCAGACAGGGACAGCGCCATGTCCCACACTGGCTGAGAGGTGCGTCTCGCAATCTGAGCCAAAATAAGGCCCATTGAGGGGGGGCTTCAAGCACAGGGCACAACCCAAGCTGGAGAGATGTCTTGCAGGGGTGTCTAACCTGCAGCCCACGGGCCGCATGCAGCCCAGGATGGCTGTGAATGAGGCTCAACACAAAATCGTAAATTTACTTAAAACATGATGAGATTTTTTTTGTGATGACGTGTCACAGTGGATTTAGCGTGTGGCCCAAGACAACTTTTCTTTCAGTGTGGCCCAGAGATGCCAAAAGGTTGGAAACCCCTGTTAGAGTCTTCTCCAAGTCCCACTCTGAGGGCAAGACCTAACAAAGGTTTCCAGTGAGTTGACAAGATATAGTTTATTCCAGCCTCAGGGACACGCAAATTTAATTTAAATTTGAGTTAAGCATTGGTAAATAAAACAATATCCTTGTCCATTTTTAGCTCGTGCTCTGTGTATTATTTTTTATATACATAGTAACTACTAACTATTTACACGAACACCTGAAACCAATACAAAATAATATTGAAAGTAAACTGTAATTGGAAAAGAAAAAGAAAACAGAGAAACAAGGACTTGGCAAAACCAGGTCTTTTGAGCCACTTAGTCATGCCTGAGGGGATCCCTCCTTTTCAGACCACAAGGCCATGCGCATGTGCCAGGCTCCATAGGGGTGAGTTGTGTGAAGGCCAGGCACTGTCCTGGGAAGAGGCGCCCTCCAAGGGGCTGCTCGACAAACTACAAATCACCCACAAATGTCACACCCTGCCCGTGCTGACCAGCTGTTTGCCCTGTGGTTGTTCTTTCCTAGTTTCGGTGCCCCTTTGGACTTTCGCAATCAGAGATGGCATCACAGGTAAGATTTTGTTTAACACATAAGAGAAAAAGGTAAATGGAGTCTTCAACATCCTGGTGTTCTCACTCCATGGCTGAGAATGGCAAAGAAATACATCAGAAATAAAAAGTAAAAGCACCACTGGGTGCATTGCCGGCATCTTTTGTCCCAGGCACTGAGGAGAAGTAGGCTGGGCTGGCAGGCGTTTGGGGGGCAGAAAGGGGAAAGCAGAAAACAACATCCCATTCATTCATCCATGTGGTTCTTGGCTTTCTCACTTGGAACTAGTTGCTTAACTACAGTGGATAGAAAGGGCCAAGGGAATAGATGTCCGGTCCTTCTCTCTCCGCGCATCCTTTCTAAAAATGACCATTATTAGCTTCTGTCCCGCTTTTTAATGGCCATAACCTTAAGCTGATTGTGCTGTGTGTACCTCATGTACACATACTTCAGAGCAAGTATGTGTACACTCAGTGTCTGGTGAGCATGGACCTATCATGTCTCTTTTATCATACCTACTTTTATCTCTTGGGGATGACATGTGGTATCTAGCCGACACCTCCCTTGACTTTGTAGGCTGCGCCATCGGGAACTGGGGAGCCTTGGTCTCATCACCCGGCATATGCAAGATACTGGCGTCATTATTATCAAGCAATGGCTTGGATGCGAAGCCACCAGATGGCTTATTGGAAGGCCGTGGAGTCCTACGTCAGGTCCCCATGGTACTGCACTCCCAAAGGTCATCCCCAGGGCCCTTATGCTGAGGAGGGCAGGTCTCCCCAGTCCTCCTGGGGCCATTACTGGGCTTCCCAGAGCTCCTGCTGCAGGCATGCACATTCCCCATGGCCTGAGCCGCACGGTCCTGACAGCGCGAGAGAAGTCCGGGCTTGGGCTGCGGAGGAAGAGGAGGAGGAAGAAGACGAGGAGGACACCGACTCAGATGAGGGGGTGGAGTGCGACGTCAGCAACATGGAGATCACCGAGGAGCTGCGCCAGTACTTTGCGGAGACAGAGAGGCACAGGGAAGAGCGGCGTAAGTGCATGCTTCCTCTTCTCGCCCTGCACTCTGCTGTTGTATCTTCCCTAGGCTATGTCAGGTTACTTTCTCACTCCTCGGCTGAGCACAGAGACTATTCCATAGCCAATCCTGACCTTGGAAGAGCTATGCTGATGCTGCACCTCAATTATATTAGTTTCCAGAGCTGTTTCAATATAGGGCTTTTTTTTTTTTAAGTTCTAGAACAAAGCTCAACCCAGTAGTGTGTCTCACATTTATTGAATGTTAGAGACTCCACCAGACAGAGAGTGTGCATGCGTGCATGTGTGTGCATGTGTACATGTGCATGTGGGTGTGTGTACATGTGTACACATATGTGTTCCCTAATCTACACAACAGGCCCTCAAGATATTAAACCCACTTTACCGATGAGGAAGGTGAGCCTTCAGAAGGTTGACTGACTTGTTCCATGGTACATGACCACACATTTTCTTCATGCACAAACATAGGGATTAGCTTCTGTCCCTACGACAGCTAGGTTCCTAAAATACTGTTGCCAGGTCACAGGCAGATAGCTCTGAGCCTTCCCTGGTGCTCCAGAGCTGCCAAATCTTAAATGGTAGGCTCCCTCCCCTCAGAGCAGAGGTTGCCATGAACCAAAACAATAACAAAATGCCTAGTACTCAAACTTTCTGATTCAATCCTGCTGCATTGAGGTGATCTGCCTGGGGCTGCAGACTTGTGGGAATGGTCTTATATCTTCAGTCAGAAAGCAGGAATTGTCTCTTTTTTTTTTTTATTTCTTACTCCAAGAGTTAGAACTGCTTTTGGTGCTCTCCTTATTATTAAGATTATCAGACCATTTACAGTTTAAGTGTCCGTAACAGATCAGATATACACATATCTGTTATTTGCTGCCTATTATAACCACTATAGAGTCTCGATATTGTTTGTATTGTTTGTATCACTAATGATGTGACAGTTTGCCTATGATTGTTAGTAAATAGAAACATAGAAGCCTCGGAAGAGTTGCAGTTCTGTTTTCAATGATCCATGTTTTCATAACAACGGCGAGTGTTCACAGATGCCACGACATGCCCTTGGGTGTCTTTGCCCATCATTCTCCCTCAACTTCCCTTCTTTTGATTAAACTGTTGACTTCTTTGATGTGCATTAGAAAGTACACCCAAACAAGTACTTTTCAAACAGTACTTTATATTACACATAGAATACATTTCTCTCCTGGATCTCCAGAAATGAAGTCAAGCTTTTTTCAAAATACATACAAAATAACCATTAGTCTGGCGCCTGAGGGAAAGTAGCCATTGGCCCATGTGCACATTTGGTTGGAGTGTTCCTTGTTCCTTTAAAAAAGAAAATATGGTGGTGATAGGGCTTATTTCTGTTGTCCTTACCAGAAGTTGTTCCCCCCTCTAAGAAACTGATAATTTTATAATAAAAGTTGTGGTTGAGGATAGGAATAAACCCCGGTCCTCAAAAAGGCCATTTTCAAATATCTGCTGATTTCAAATAAACCTGATATAGTTATCCAATCAAGATAGACGTGAATGAAATGAACATAAGATAATGAAAAGTGTTCTTCCAGGGTGAGTGGTTCAGTCACAGATATGGGGAAGAACATCTGTTTAACTGCTAGGCGTTTTGCTACTCTGTTCAGGTGCACACTGATCTGTTCCGCCCTCTCGCCTTTGTCAGAATCCAGTAGGTTTTAAAAAGTCATGCAAATTATCTCTTACTTTGTGGCTGGCACTTACTATTATTTTGAATGAATGAATGAATGAAGTATTTTGTTATCAATGATGAGCCTTAAAACAGAGGTTTTCTAATCTTACCCCACAAAGTAGTGAACTTGCTATGGTTCTGTGAGACATTTTACCAAGTGAGTTACGGTTGGAACGCTTTATAAAGTTGGTGAACTTCAAATTTTGTTGGATAGTGTTCCTAAATCTCCTTCATTTCCTCCAAGGCTCCAAATGGCACTGTTATCATCACTATTACAGCTTGACTTATGTCCCTTATAAAAGATATATTAGAGTCCTAACCCCCACCCCCTAGGCCTCGGGATGTGACCTTATTTGGAGATGGGGTCTTTATAGAGGGAATCAAGTTAAAATGGGGTTATTAGGGTGGGTCCTAATCCAGTGGGACTGGTGCCCTAAAAGGGGGACATTTGGACACAGGCACATCCAGGGAGGATGCCACGTGAAGACCGGAGTTCTGCTGCCACCAGCCAAGGAACTACCAGAAACCAGGAGACAGGCCGGAACAGACCCTTCCCTGGCACCTCCCCTGCCCAGGGAGGCCCTGCCCTGCTGACCCTTGATCTCGGACTTCCGGCCCCCAGAACCGTGAGCCATTGTTCTAAGCTTCCCAGTTTTGGGCGCTCTGTCATGGCAGCCCTAGGAAACTAATACAATCCCCCTGCAAGAGTTGTCTTTGTGAGTGGGATGGAAAGTGTACCAGAAACATGTTATCGCCTCTGTGAGGAAAATGTGGTGTGTGTTTGCTTTACTATGGTCTAGATAGCAAACCAACAGAAAGGGGAATTTGATGAAAACTATTACAGTCTTCATCCTTAGCCTCACTCCCAGTGCAGCTGTGGCAGAACTTCTCAAATCATGGGCTCCCCCACTTCTGAGCCAGAGGTTCTTAACCCTCTTGTGGGCCCCCTGCCCTAACTGTTCTGAGCCTCAGCCCCCTCACCTGTGAAGTGGGGATTCTAATTAATGCAATGGTAATTATGAAGATTAAATGATGTAATAAGAAAAAAGTTAGAGAATGGTGCTTGGTACAAAGTCAGTGCCCAAGAAACGTTAGTTGTTATGGTTAGTTGCTTATAGCTCATCCTTTGTTGTGGACTATTCACTGCAAACTGATTTTACTCTGGTAACTGTTTGTCCTGATTAGTGCTTGATTCCGATCCTGTACCTTTTTGATAAAGATGTTCTGTGACTTCAAACAAAGTGCTATATTTCTGCTCTAGGCAGCACTTACACTCTTAAATTGATCTAAATATTTAACATTTAAAGATTTAAAACACCAAAGAATTAAATTTTTGTGTCTGTCAGGTTTAGTCATTTAGTTCCATTTCTAGGACATTCTTGTTGGACATGATATAGTAAAATACTGGGGCTGGAAAAACGAACCCACTTGCACATTACTAATCACAGCCCTGAACACACCGAGCTTCCACTTGTCTGTGCTTTGGAAAGTGTGTATTTGTAGCAAAATTCAACACTACTTGTCCTCGAGTCCCTGTCATGCTCTTGGGCCCTGCAGTCTGTCCTGAAAGCATTATGAAGTCCCTAGGAGATGTGAGAAGTGTCTGGTGAGGGTGAGAACAGGCTTTGGTGCCAAACTCTTACTGCTAAAGACCTGCTTGTCTATTAGAAGTAGCTGCCAGGGCTTAGCCCTGAACCCCCAGTAACAAAATCATGGGCAGCGGTTCACCAGCACTGTTTTTTTCAACAGCACTTTGGGGGGTATATAGGATGAATACATGTTCCTTCAGGCAGCAATGAATGATGGAATTCAGACATAAGTAATTTGAACGCCCGGGGTGTTGTCCAAGCCTTTGCCATTACTAGAATGTACCTGAGGTTTAGCTCCATACACGGTCAGGAAATGCTTATTATTAAAGAGATAAGGGACCTGAGTAGTACCTGAGAGTGTGCATACTTGGTAACAGTTGTTTTTGTTTTGCTCTTTGAGCCACTAGAAGCTGCTTCTTCAATAAGGGCAAATTCAACTTTGAATGTGAATCATTTAGAGAACACAGAAGTTTATAAAATATTACTAGCAAAGGAAAAACATAGCTAAATTGGATTTAGCTTTTCCTCATCTGAATCTTATGTAATATTTTCTTAGGATAAAATCCTTCAGAATAGACGGCATGTTCTTGCTTGTTGTGATCACTACTCTTCCAGATAAACTCTAATTGAACACCCTTCAATGATAACAAAACATTACGTCGGATAAAGACCTTTTGTGCAGTGGGAACAAGCATGCTTTTGATTCTGTTATGTCATCATTTCCTCATGAGATGTTTCCATTATTTAAAACTTCAGTGGTAACATTACTTACAGGAAAAATGGCAGTCGTGACGTTTTGAAGGTCGGCTGTGTTCTTACCTGTTTCTTGGGGGGAAATCTTTATTGCTAAGTTAAGGAAACATAGTTTTTGGTATAAATAACCACCGACTGGTTCTACAGGATTATCATCCTAAGTCTTAGCGGGAAAACAGGTGCAAGTTATCATTTGCAATAGACAAGAAAGTCCCCTGAAACAAACACTGCCACTGTTGTCTCGGGCTTCAGCCAATCAGAGATGTATCATGTGTTTTGGGGTCAGGTGTTGAGTCAAAACAGGGACATATTCGGAAAGAGCAAACCCAGGTGGGAAGGGGAGATAAATGAAAAAGTGGTACCTAGAAGAGCCATCTGCGGTGTGGTCCATGGTTCCTTTTGCAAAGCGGGGTAGAGTGCTGACCACCAGTAGTGAACTTGGTAATCGGGGAAGGAGCTCCATGGGCTAGTTGTGGAGAAATGGAATATGCCCTAAGCTTTGAGTAGTGATGGGGTCGATTGGGAAGGAGAGAGAAAGAAAGGAGGTAGTCCAGCCCCACTCAGCACTCAAAGTACTGTTCTTACCCAATGGCCCCGGGGTGTTTTCCTTACATTTGATGGGAGACATCTGCCCCACTGTGTTATGTCTACCTGAGGAGGGAGGTTTAGACTCTGTCAGTGGGCTGGACCCCCATCTGTTTGGTGCTCCTTCAGTCCCCCTCTACGGAAAACCTACAGAATATAACAAAGTTTCCACCCCAGAATTTAATGAGTCATCTTGGTTAAGTCAATGAGATTCGAGTGTGGAATCACACTGATTGAGCATAATTCCGCTGTGTGAGCGTTTCATCCAGTCCAGATGTTGAGACATGCATAAAGCCAATCAGTGAGAAGAAATGTGTGAAAGGCTGCAGAAAAGTGGGAGGGAGGGATGGAAATGCCCTTTTATTCTACAAATGGACATGGTGGTTGTCCACAGGCGTGCGTGTGTCATGGACTGAGGGATGTGGGGTGAGGATAGAAGACCCATCAGAAATGGCTCCGGGTCTGCACCTGTGTTCTGGGTGTGTTGCTGACAAGTCAGAAACGAGGCATTCCCGATATAAATCAAGCCTGTGCTTTCACTCGGTTGTGTGAAGATCATTAATTCTAGCAATGTAGCAGTGACTATAATCAGAAAGACATGCTAATGCTGGAAAACTAACATTCTTTAACACTCATTTGTCTTAGTGCTTTGTCCTCCAAAATGTTCTGCCTTCAGGCTAATTATCTGTGGAATACTGAAGGCATGTCTTCCTGCTATGTGAGGTTCCCTAGAGGCCAAGTCACTTTCCGTGATTTTTTTCTTCCTCTACGCACTGCAAGTCTCTATCAGTAACATCACGTAAATGTATCGAGTGAGGCAAAAATATCGCTGTCACATATCCTGAACCCAGATGAACCCAGTAGAGTTGCTCCTTAACAGTGCAATCCTGAGTGTTTTTCTTGCATTAACCCTATCTGCATATTCACCCTGCATCAGTTTCCTAGGACCACTGTAACAAATTACCACCAGCTGGATGGCTTAGGACAGCAGAAATTCATTCTCCCAGTTCTGGAGCCCAGAAACGCAAAGTTGGGGGTGCTGGCAGGGCCACACTTCCTCCAAAGGCTCTAGGGCTTTGCTTCTTCCAGCTTCTCCTGGCTCCTCATGTTGGTTGGCTTGTGGCAACATAGTTGCAAGCCCTGCCTCCGGGTTTGCATGCTTTTCCCCCTGTGTCTCTAGCTGCCCTTCTCTGTCTCACATAAGGACACACTCCTTGGATAGGGTCCACCCTAATCCAGTGTGACCTCATCTCCATCGTTCCCTTCACCTCCATCCTTCCCTTCCTCACATCTGCGGAGACCCTGTGTCCAAATGAGGTCACATTCAGAAGTTCCGGGCAGATGTGAATTTTGGGAGGACACTAGTCAACCCACTACAACCTGGTGCTGGAATCTAAAAAGGTTATGGTTTGTATTCCAACAAATTCCCATGACCAAGTATCCTAGAAGAAAAGGGCTCTTGGTAAGATCGAGTCGCATGGCTGTTTTCAGTAAAAGTGACCCCCCCCACTCCCGACCAGGTCCCTGTTCAGTTATGTCTGAGGTGTGACAGTCCCTCCTTCTCTGCTCCAGTCAGCTGATGGTCCATCGGGTTGGAGGAGCCCTCACCATGTTTTGAGAAGAAATACTACCAGTGATTAAGAAGAATCCTTCCTTTCAGTGGGAGGAAGGAAGCAGTAAATAGAAACCAGAATAAGTGGATGCCTTCAAAGGACTCTCTCCCACCCTGAGGCTTGCTTCATCCCGTAGGTCAGTGTACACCAAAGCACTTTCGGCCAGTCTGAGGGTATTTGGTTTTAAGCTGGCTGGTTTCCAAATATGTAGTCCAGCCTTAGAACAATTTCTTTTAATTGTGTGAGTAAATGGAGGTGAAGGGGCTCAAATGGAAGGGAACAAATCAGACCCCAACTTACTGGGGCCCTCCTGTGCCTGCTCCCCCAGCCTCTCCGCCATGCAGGCTCTGAGGGACCTAGTGAGGGGCGTGCCTCCAAGCACCGTTTGTGATTTCAGCATCTGTTTCTCTATCCCTGGGCTGTCAGCATTTTTCTTTCAGACCATCTGGAAGAAACAGAGCTGCTCACCAAAGGAAAAAATAATGTATGGCCTTTGTCCGCACTTTCTCTCAACACTCGTTTCCTGAGCACCTGCTTTGTGTCAGGCATGGTGTCCTCCTGGGGCTGGGGATGGGGCGAATGTAGGCGACAGGGCCCCTCCCCCACAGGCGACTGACTCCTGCAGCCCATCCGTTAGCTGTCCTTTCAGTGCAAGGCACAGGCCTCCTGCCCCTTAGATCTATGTTTGAGGACAACTATCCACCGTGCAGGAAACCTGGAACCTGCAAACCTCTTGTGGGCAGGGAGGGGACAGGGTTGGACCTTATATTTTTCATGAGGAAGGCCAGATGGGAAGGAGATACAAGTAGAGAACAGAGCAAAGTCCTGTATCTTTTATGCTTATACTGTGTGAACTTTGTTTAAAACTAAAATCCAGTGATGGCAACCCATGAGCCCATGTCGAGTGCGAACTTGGAAAATTGCACGGGCTTCATGGGCTGCCAGATGGGGTCACTTTGTATTAAGTGTTTTGTCCATAGATGTCAACAGTAAGAGAAAATGTCTCTTGACAGAGAATGGAGACACCAACTTAATATCGGTGAGACAGTTTTTGTCAGCAGAGTGGCGGAAAGAAGCATCATGATAACCAGGTTAGATTATAAGGAAAAGGAAACTGAAGATACCGAAGTAAAAAGTTCATATTCACATATCCTAACAGCAGGGAGCAACATTTACTAAGATAGGGAAGATTCCAGTGTGTATTTAAACTTCAAAACGCAGAGACTCCGATTAGACAGGAAGTTGAACATCTGCTGTGTCACTAAAGCTGTCAGGAAGGCTGATGATGGTCTTCGTACAAACTTGAGAGTGAAAGGACTGTGGTCTGGGAACTTCCGCCCTCTAGATGCAGAGGCTCCTAGGCCCCCGTGGCCCCACGTGTGGGATCGCGTCCTCCAGGCCAGCAGCGGGGCTCTCACAGGTGGCACCCTATTGTCCCTGGCTAATGTGGCCGTGCCAGGCCTTCAGCAGAGTAGTCCTTGAGGGGTGCGGTGGGGAATAGAATGTGAACACCCAGAAAGACGGAACAACTTGCATCCTGATGTTTCAGGCTCATCAGAAAGACCACAAATGAGAAACAAGTGCTTGTTGAGCTCCCGTTCATTTGCATGTTAGGTCAATATTTTGGCTGCGGTCTGCGTTTCACAGTAAGTCAATTATATCTTCTCCATGGATAAGGTAACAGTGATACGGTATTTATTTTGACAGTCATTTGGCGTATCCGTGTACTGCTTCCTTGTGTGAAAATGAACTGCAGATGTGCTAAGACAGAAATGGCCACATACATTTTTAATAATGTTTCCAAGTTGATAAAACCCTTTCCCTCCGACTCCTAGGTGTCATTTATAAAGAACGGGATTTATGAGGGTGACTGTGCGTGAATAACATAAATAACTTTCCGTTCACACTTGATTCGTTCACTTCTGTCGTCCCTTCCATACTAAGCTTTCTTTCTGCTACATTCTTTGTAACAAGAAAAGGATGATTTATGTTGTTGGTTTAGCTCAACAACATCCTCACTCCCTGCTTAGTAGCATTTCTCTTGGTAGCAATAGCAGCTATCGATGTTCTACTATCACATTCTACTATCAATTTCTCTGTTCCTGACAGTAGCTTAGAAAAAAATCTACGTATTCGCTTAGGCTACATTTGACTTTTTGTAGCATCGTTTTGCTGGTAATTTTTAAGCCCATTTTTTTCTGCATGACATTTAAAAATATTTATTGATTGATTTGAGAGAGAGGGAAGGAGAGAGAGAAACACTGATTTGTTGTTGTGCCTATTTATGCAGTCATTGGTGACTCTTACATGCGCCCTGACTGAAGGTCGAATCCACAGCCTTGGCATATTGGGCTGATGCTCCAACCAACTGTGACACCTAGCCAGGGCAGTTTTTCTGATATTTTTATGTTGTGCTTATTTACATAAGAATAAAAGTTATGTTAGTACTTGCTATAATAAAAGAGAGGGGATAAACATTTCTGGCTGTACTCGAATCTATTGAAATGAATAGAATTGAAAGCATGTAACCCGTGGTGCTGGAAATGCTGCCTAAGCTCATCTGTGAAGTGGGAAGTCAGATCCCATAGTGAGGATGTTGACACCAAGTTACAGGTTTAAGCAGCAGGAAGATTAGACCTCAGAGGTTTCTGTTCCATTTGCAGAATTGCCTTGCTCGGCCCTTCTACCCTCCAGCAAGTGTTAAATCCCTGGACCTCCCATCGCCTGGTACGCTTTCTGTTTTGGATGCGTGGAAGGATCCTTGGTTATCATGGCCATTCTCTGTTGCCAGCACTTGCTCTTTCTGGATTACCTAAAATCATTCCCCACCACCACCACCACCTCTTTTGTGGTGGGAACTACTACTTATTTCCACACTGGCCTTTCCAGGAAGCACTGCATTTTCCTGCCTGCCTGGTGTCGTGTTTAAAACCCAGGGAGCTCCACCAGCCCTTCCTCGCTAGGCAGGCTATGGGCTGGGGTGTAGATAAGGAGAAGAACCCAGGTGGTGTCATTTTCTTCTGTGTTTTCAGGACTCTTCCCAGAGGTTTGATAGTTTGGGGTGCCATGTTTCCGTGTGGCTTTTTGCCATTGCTCTCAGCATATAGCCCTCTGATAAGTGAACAATGAGCTTCATAACTGAGTAGATAAAAAGATGCAGGTTGAGCCTTAGAATCTAGAGAACATCCGAGCTGGCATAGCTGGGCCTGGGTCCACAGTTTGAAAGGGACAGCTAAGGGGACTTGCCGGACTGCCCGCCGTTAAGTCTGGGTGCCATGGAATTCACCCCAGTTGACTGTATTGTCTTGTTCCTAGGGCGGCAGCAGCAGTTGGACGAACAGCGCCTGGAGGACTATGTGAACGCTGACCACGACCTGTACTACAAGACAGCCCGCTCCATGGAACCACCGTCCGAGAGGCCCGGTGAGCAGCGCCAGGCCGAGATGAAGCGCCTGTACGGAGACAGCGCTGCCAAGATCCAGGCCATGGAGGCCGCCGTGCAGCTGAGCTTTAACAAGCACTTTGACCGAAAGCGGCCCAAATACTGGCCGGTCATTCCGCTGAAGTTCTGAGCCCTGGCTTCTGGGCTCCCTTCCTCTGGGGCTTGCTCCTCCTCCTGCTTCTGTGCATTTTCTTGGGGAAACGGGAATTTATACTGAGACGTTCACCAAAGTGCCAGGGGGCCCGTCATGGGGGTAATATAATCAGCCAGGCATTTTTCAGCATCAGGGTGTGTACTGTAGTCTACCTGCAAGATTTTCTTTTGACATAAAATGATCATTTCATATGCATAACACTTACAGTTCTTTGAAGTTCTCAGAGATACTGTTTAGTTGTTTATGTCTTTTTATGCCTTCTTCTGTATTTAACCCAACTTAAATGCCTTAAATGTGTCAACTGTGGTCTCCTACTGGCACTCCATTTGCCCCTGCTGACACTGACCCAAACGTGCAGCCAGACGATGACCACTCTTCTCCCACGCAGAGGTCAGCATGCAGGTTCTGCAAAGGGCCAGAGAGTTCGTATTTTTTTGGCTTTTCAGATCACACGTTCTGTCTCATGACTACTCAATTCTGCCCTTGCAGCCTGAAAGCAGCCATAGACCATAAGTAAACAAGTGGGTATGGCTGTGTTCCAATAAAACTTTATTGATAAAAACAGGCCATGGGCCAGATTTGGCCTATGGCCAGTAGTTTGTGGACCGGTGCTCTAGTGAATGAAATGGCCTGTCTCACATTGTTCTTGTTCTCTTTACAGAGTTTTCATGTCACACAGAACTGAGGGCAAAAAAAAAAACAGTCATTCCCAAACCTGCTCCCCTCTGCAGTCTCCTCTGTTGCCAAAAAGGTATTATTGAACTCTTACTTTGTATAGCAGATATCATTTTGGAAAGAGAACGCATTTCTGAGAATGAAAATTTAAAGATTGATAGAACGGTCCATTTTAAAAAAAAAGCCAGCTGCCTTTTAAATAAGTTATTACGGTGTGTTGCCAGGGTGAGCCTTGTTGACCTGAGAAGATTAGCACATCCATCAAAGGTTGGTGGAAAGATTTAGTATTGACATGTTTTTCCCTGAGAACACTTAGCTCCACATTTCAGCCCCTGCCCTGTGACAAATGCATTACTTTCATCAGCCCCAGGTGCTTGTTTTTCCAAGCCCTTGTTTTATTACTGGAGTTGCAATTTGAGCTTGGGTATTGCAGACCAAAATCAGTATTAATTTCCCCTGAGGTGACACATGACTAAAATTTCAAGTCTTTAGTAGTCCTCTCTATTTTTTTTTAATTTTAAACTCATACGCCTCAATGGGAATATAGATGTGACTCAGGCACAGATACAAACTAGTTATATTTGCAGCAGGTCCTTAGCTGTTTGACAGTGCAATGGACCTCTTTACAAAGAACTCTCCTACCTTTCCCCCGAAGAAGGCGCCATGCCGGTGCCACCCCTGCTGGAATTGTGGCTGTGAACTTGGAGTTCCTTTCACCTCTCAGTGCTTCCTGTTCCTCACTCTTCAAGTGGGTCTTACTGATTCCCCCACATGGAGTCCTTGTGAGGACCACGTTGAGTCAGCGCCTGTAAAACATAGTGCTGGCTGCACAGTAAATACTCAACACATGTTGATACTTACTTATTCCCTGTCTTTAAAAATTACCAAAGAGAGCTGTGGAAGTCCTGGGTATGGAACTTCTCCCAAATACGGAGAAATGTTTCCCTGTCAGCCTTTCGAAGGGATGCACTGGCTTAAATCTCATTCCCACCTGCCCTTCTTCCCAAATGCCTCGTAGATAAAGTGTGATGGGAAGACCTATGGCTTATTTATTCATTTATTCAGCAAATACTTGAGTCCTTCCAGATAGCTAAACCATAGTCTCTTCCCTCAGGGCACTTGCATTCTAGGAGAGGCAGACAGGTGTGTAAAGATAGCGATGGCATGTGTGCAGTGCACGCATGCGCAGGAACTACAAGAATGTAGGATGAGGGTGGGGCTTCTCGGTCTCAGCACTGTTGATGTTTGGGACCCATCATTCTTTGTTGTTCTTAAAAAATACATACTATGGACATATATATGTACTAAAGTCAAGAGACTTGCATGCAAATAATTCATACACACCAGTTTCAGAACTACCCACCAATAGTGGGTAGTTCTGAGCGGGGAAGGGGTTGGAGTGCCATTCAAAAGTGGCTTTTCTGTCTCTAATGTTTATTGTTTTTCTCACTTCATTTCTAGGGGTAATTGTTACATGAAATGTTTATTTGTCAAATGCTTATATAAGGCTTACTGTGGGCCACATACTCTTCTAGTTGCTTTTGAAATATTCATTTCCTTAGCAACCAACCTAGGACCGACCTGTGAAGTAGCTATTATAGGTTCACAGCCGTTTTCCAAACCATGAGATCAGGCATGTTCCGGAATGCAGATATTGTTGTACTTTAAGTTCCGTTCAGGTCAGGTTTTGCCATCAGATCCTTACAGTTAAGTCAGGTTAGGCTGTCAGACAAATCATTTAAAAAAAAAAAACAACAACGAAAAAATAACTTCTAGTTTCCAGAGCTTTGGGGATTTCAGAAAAGGGGTGAAGAAATATGATTGTTTTTATAGATGAGGAACCTGAAGCACAGAGAAAGTAACCCACTGAACCAGGCTCACCTTCAGTGGTGGAAGTGGGTGTCAAACGCAGATATTCTGACTCCTAAACTCCCCACTTTTTGCTGCTTTGCCCTGCTGACCTCAGCCTCTACAACCATACTGTCAGTACGTGGAAGGCACACTGTTTCCAAGCATTGCGAAGAGTCTGGAGCCACTTACAGCCCTCAGCAGGATTCCAGTACATTCCATGCTGGAGCGTGGGGTTAGGTTCTAGTCCTAGCTCTGCTTGAGAATGTCTGACTCTGGATAATGCATTTGTACTTTTTGTCTGAATTTAAGAACTGAGGCTATAGCAACAAGAGGAAAAGGGATACACTTGAGATATTGAGGAAGTAGATGTTCTGTGGCTTAGCAATTTGCGGCAGGTAAGGAAAAAATCTAGGATGGCTCAAGTTTCTGTCTTGGATGGTGGTTCTAGCTATTCAGGTAAAGAAACCAATAGGAAACCAGTTTGGGAAGAAGCGTAACTAATTCTATGTGGGACACTGAGTTTGAAAGGCTCACAGACATCCAGTGACATCTTGTCAGTCATTGGATATTTGGGTTTGGGACTCAGTGTAGATGGTCTGCATGCATAACCCATGGACACAGACAACAGTGTGGCCATGGCCAGAGGGAAGGGGGGTTGGGGCTGGGTGGAGGTGGGCAAAGGCGGTGGGCGGGGCAGGGGGTGGGGAATGGGGACATCTGTAATAGTGCTTCAAAGCATAAGAGGAGCCTGTGAAGGGAAGGAGAAATGACGAGGAAAACCAGGAGCTAGAGGTGTCTCAAAGGGGGAAAGTGGGAGAACCAGACAGTGTGGCTTCTGCTGGGATGCATTAGAAAGTTAAAATGAGCGCCAATGAAATATTTTCACAGCTATGTATATACATGTGTCTATAGCAAATGCATTGCAAATGTTCTTTCAAATATGTGTCTGTATATATAAAAGAATCTTGTTAAGTTGTCCAAGATGAAAGATAAGGAGAGAATCTTAAAAGCAGCAAGAGAAAAGGAGACAGTTACCTACAAAGGAGTTTCCATAAGACTGTCAGCTGATTTCTCAAAAGAAACCTTGCAGGCAAAAAGGGGCTGGAAAGAAGTATTCCAAATCATGAAAGGCAAGGACCTTCATCTAAGATGACTCTAGCAAAGCTATCATTTAGAATGGAAGGGCAGATAAAGTGCTTCTCAGATAAAGTCAAGTTAAAGGAGTTCATCATCACCAAGTCCTTATTACATGAAATGTTAAAGGGACTTATCTAAGAAATAGAAGATCAAAAACTATGAGAGGTTAAATGTCAATAAACACAACTATCAATGACTGAATCTAAAAAACAAAAACTAAGCAAACCACTAGAACAGGAACAGAATCATAAAAATAGAGATCACATGGAGGGTTATCAGTGGGGAGGGAGAAAATGGGGGGGAAGGTACAGGGAATAAGAAGCATAAATGTCAGGTACAAAATAGGGGGAGGTTAAGAGTAGTAAATGGGAAATAGAGAAGCCAAAGAACTTCTATGTATGACCCATGGACATGAACTAAGCGGGGTCGGGGGGATTCTGGAGGGAGTGGGGTGGAGGACAGGGGGATAAAGGGGAGCAAAAGAATGAGACAGCTGTGAAAGCATAATCAATAAAATGTACTTTTTTAAAAAAACTATAAGTACCAATTTACAGGAAGTTCAGGGAGAAGACTAACATTTTAAAACATATTAAAGACAAAATCAACCTAATCTAGAATAAGGGAAATTTGATAGGACAGAAAAACTAGTTTCTTCAACAAATGGACTTTCAAAAAGTATGTGTTGGAGAGGAGGTGATAGCAAGGGGAAGAACTGTTATAAGATGTACTGTGTATACTTTGTATGAATTGTAATTTGAACAAATTATGAAAAACGTGAGGGAATTTGAATGTGACTGTTAGAGGCTATTAAACAATTATTAAATTTGTTTGGAGTAATGAGTGTTTTGTGGTTATGGGTTGTTTTTTTTTCAGTTCTTATCTGAACTCTTTATGGTTGCATTCATATGCTGTTTTGGGTTTCCTTTAAAGCATTGCAGTGGCAGAGCATGGGAGAGGTGACACTTGAAACAAGATCAGCAAAATGTTGAACATTCTTGGAGCTGGGAGCTGGATGCCTGGGGGCCCCTTATGCTCTTTCCTCTCGCTGTGTTTATGTTTGAAAATGCCATAGTAAACTTTTAGAAAATGAAATGGAATTTGAAGGAAAGAGATTAATAGTATTGCCACAGAAAGGTCTGGTCAACTAAGAACAGAAAGGGAGACTTTGGCCTGACAGCCGAGAGACCATTGTCATGTAAAGGACCTGAAAGCAATTTCAGTGTGTAGGTGGCAAGGAAACCAGATCTTACATCCAAAGCTGAGATGGGTGTGCGGAAGGACTGGGGCATGTCAGAGGGGCACTGGAGCCAATCTGAAAGAGCTCCCAGCCTGGTGCCCCAAAAGGGGCAACATGAGCGAGAAACCAATACAGTTTCAGAGTATAAAAGAAATACACACAAGTCCATACTAACAAATGCCTGAATAATAAATGGCGAGAAGAGACAGATCTTCCTTACAGAAGAATTCCAAATAATATCTATCTGCCCCCTGTAGGAGGGGCACCTTATCCTCCCTTCCCCACTGAGGAGAGGCTAAAGGAGCGACTCACTTCCAAAGAACAGAGTAGAGAAAGGGGAAAATAACTTTTCAGTGGAAAACTTGAGCAGACCACATCATGTAAGTGCTCAAGGTTCACATCGCCGGTGATGAATTCCGTGGGTACGGTGTGCCACCTGATGTGAGCTGATGTGACGAGAAGGGCACTTCACCTCTGGTAATCTCCAAACCCATCACTGCAGTTTCATCATGAGAAAAGCGTCAGATAAGCCCAAATTGAGGCACGTTCTAGCGAAATCCTAGCCAGTACTCTTTAAAACCCTCAAGGCCATGAAAAGCAAGGAATACAGAAAATGTCACAGAAGAGACTAAGCAGACATGATGAGTAATGACAATGTGGGACCCTGGATTGGATCTTGGAACAGAAAGAGGATAGTGGGAAAGTGAAACCCAGATAAAGTCCATAGTTTCATTTCATGGGAATGTGCCAATGTTAATTTCCTAGTTTTGACACAGACCTACACCACAGTTGGGAAACTGGGTGAAGTTGTGTACAAGCTCTATACGATCTTTGCAATCTTTCTCTAAATCTAAAATAATTCCAAAATAAAGAGTTTTGAAATAAAAATGGAAATTTTATATCGATTCTTGCTAACTGTATATGTAACTCTTGTTCCACCTTTAAGAGGGGGAGAGAGATTTTTATTTTTCTAAAGAAGGAACTTACAAAGCTTTTTTCATTCTTTTGAGTGCTATAGAATTTGACCCCTCAGACACCAGAATGGTGGGAGTGAAGGGTAAGTGAAGTCAGGACCCAACCTTTGTTAGTACCTAATGTGTATAGCATTGCACGATTTGCACGTTACCTGCTTCGTTTCTCTGAACAACCCGATGAAGCATGATCCCCAGTTTTCTGATGAGCAAAGTGATTCAAAGAAAGAAGAAACAACATGGCTAATGGCTGGGGGTTAGGTGGAAAGGGGGAGTGACAGCTAGTGGGCTCAGGATTTCCTTTGGAAGGGATGAAAACGTTTTGGAACATAGAGGTGGTGGTTGTGCAACGCTGTGAATGTACTAAATGCCACTAAATCATTCACTTGAAAACAGTTACTTCTGTGTTATAAAAATGGCAGCTCCATGAAAAAAAAAAGGGGGGTCATAATAAAAAGATGGAGAAGCTACAGTCTAGTTTTTCCGGGTTCTTTGTAAGGATACTCAACGCAGAGTTTCAACACACCGGCAGCTGCAGTTGCTGCAGTTCTATCTTCAGCTTCACGGTGTTTCCATTGGCCAAAGACGTGCTGAGCCATCTCCCAGTCTGAAGCAGTCAGCAAATAAGGGCAAGGCAGCTCCACCAGACACGAACACCTGATTTCCGTGGCGAGTATGGTAGCACTGTATTAGCTAGTGGCGCCACTTTCTGTGTTCCTACGTGGCCCTACACAGCACACAAACTGGAATAGAATGGAACCTGCTTCTGTTAGCAGTCACCCCAAAGGAATGGGGAGATCAGTACTCAGTCCAGCTGGTGCGATCATGAATTGTCTCCAAACCAGGTCATAATTGATGCCAAGTGAAAGCACTGTGTACACATTAAAATGCGGAATGATTGAAGAAATAAAGTGTATTTGAAACCTTATAAAAAGAATCTGTGGTCTAGGGATGGGAGAAAACCTGGAGAGTGATGGATAGAAATCATGTGGTGTAAAATATTTCTCAATTTCTTTTTCTTTTTTTGGCCAAAGAACAGTTGTTCCACTACACAGGCATTAGTACATGACAGAATGTTAATAATACTCCATAGCACACAGTTTGAGAAACACTTTTTCACTGAATGAGTCCTCATTTTAACAAATAGAACAATGTAGGAGTCTTACTTGGCTCCGGGTGGCACAGGAGCCACCCGTGTGGCTTTGGGAAATTGAGAGAAGAAAAGGATCAGAGACCAGTTGGAAGAGAAGCTGTATTTGGGCTCAGTCTATTCCTAGAGAGGATAGATTTGGCAACATACAGATGGCATGGACACACACGCTGGGTAGAACTACCAGCAAAAGGCAGAATATGTGTTGTGTATGGGAAATAGAATGCACATCCATCTGTCAGACTCCCAAGGTCCTCAGACCTGGCTGTGCATTGGAATCCCTTGGATCCTTCTTTAGCCAATTAAATCAAAATCACTGGAGTAGGGGCTCAGGCACCCCGAGTGTTTTTAAAACTCTCCGGATAATCCAGTGTGCAACCGCGGTTGAGCTGTTCTCGAATATGGTGTTGGAGTGTACTGGTGTTCAAATTGGAGTGTGACGTTATATGCTACCTTTCAAACTTTAGCATGTGTAACAGTCACCAGGGGAGCTTGCTGATACACAGATTCCTGGGCCCTACTGTAAGATTCGGATTCAGTAGTGTGAGGGGAGGCCCAAGAACCTGCCTTTCTATTAAGCTCCCAGGTGGTGCTGATGCTACTGGTACAGAGACTTCACATTGACTAGCACTGAAGGCAGCAATGTGATAACAATAAAGGACTAGTAAAGACAGGTTTGCAAATAGCATGCTTAAAGAGTAATCCACGAAAGCGAGTTCAAGTGCTCAAATGGGAGACAATGTGGTGGCGTTAGGGCAGCCATGCCAGGACTTGCAAATGTCCCGCAGCTCTTCATCCCCCACGCCAAGTGCATCGCGATGAGGAGAAGGTCATAAAGACCTGGGCTACAGTAACAGGTTTGCTAAGGAGAGTGATGACCCAGAAGCATGGGAAAGGGCCAGTTTATGAAGGGCCTTCCCTGCTAGACTATGAACTCCAAGCAACTGCAAGGTCTTTGCAAAGGCCATTTTTCAAGAAGAAGACATTTGCAGTATTTGTTCAAAGGCGATACAGTAATGAGAATTAATGGGGCTTGACGACAGAAGTGGCAGTGGAACTGGAGAGAGAAGATAGATGTGAGAGATGGGGCAGAAATAGCAACTCCATCCTTCCAGGTGCTCAACCAGCTCTTCTCTTTCCCTCCTCC